GGGGGTGGAGTGGACCAAGTGCCGTTCTCACCACACGAGATGCTTACTGACGTGTTCAGGTCTGGAAACACCTGCCCGGCCGGACATGATATATTCACCTGAAAAATAACATAAACTGTTTACTAGTATGGCATCATGGAGAGCTGGGTGAAGCTGGGTGAAGCTAAGGTGAAGCTGGGTGAAGCTGGGTGAAGCTAGGTGAAGCGGGTGAGCTAAGCAAGACTGGGTAAATAGTCGACTTGTCGACTTTGTTTTGGTTGTATACAGGTTCTCTGACACAAATGTCTGACGGTTTAGTATGATAATTTACTATTGGTATACGTAGTTGTGGTTACCGGATAAAATTTACTTATAACAGTTACTTTGTATCTTTTGTTTACCTACACATTTATCAAGTGTGAGTTATCTTAAACTAAGTCACACTTCAGTGCAACTTTGTTGCGTGAAAGACTAGACTCATTGTCTTTTTTTTTCTTTTACCTCACCAAAGTTTACCCTGCTACACTTTACTCTTCATTTGTTTTCTTCTGTGTTGACTTGGAGTATATGGGGGCTCTAGGGGGTCAACCCGCGGCCCGTCGTTAGTTGTTAAAGATACGTATTCCCGCCGCTGTCCAAGTGTGGCCCGGCTTGGCTCCTCTTAGGGAGTTTCTGAGACCTAAGCTCCATGGAGGAGGCAAAGTACATCATAATTGTGACCAACTGTCCCTGCCTAGCCAAACTAGCACTCATGTCGCATCCCCCAAGGGGTATATGGAATGCTAAAGTCTTATTGAGCTAAATGGCTGCTAAGGCATACTTACCTAGAAGGGTTAGGCATCGGTAGTCGATCGCCGGTCCGTACAGGCCGATAAGATTAATTATAATTTATTACATGATATACCTCTCCAAACCAACCAATTACAGTAAGTTATTTTCTTAGCTTTTATAAGTTTTTTTTGAGGTCTAAGGAACTAATCTAATTTACATTATTCCTAGGAATAATTATTCGGTAAGGCACTCGAACGCCTTCTGGACTGAAGAAAAAGAAGTTCGATATTTGAGGTTCATGTATATGATAGTCTCCCCTACAATACAGGTAAGAATTTTCTCTTTTAATTAATGAAACTGTTGTTATTCTTCTCTATATGATATGTAGTTATATTTCCCTATCATATTTTGTTTTTACACGGAAGTATTTCTTACATCAAGTGAAAAAATTTGTCAGCCTGAGCTGACACATTTAGTAACTTTTTGTCAGTAGATCAATGAGAAATTGTTAAGCATGTCAGTAAGGGCTCAGTAGTTACGACAGCTTGTCAGTTACGACAGCTTGTCAGTTACGACAGCTTGTCAGAGATTGTAACTTTATACATATAACCCGCACATATCACAAAACTTACGACGACATTTCTTAAATGATGGTTATATTTGACCGAAACGTCGTCCTAACTCCTCTCACCTACGTGCGAGTTATTTGTGTATTGTTCCAGTCACGGTATTGTGTCTTTTTTGTTCTTTAGTCCACCTTTATGTCTTACACCAGGATGTATGAGTGTAGTGGTTAAGGACAAGTTGTAGGAGCCCGTCATGATCGCCTGAAGAGCGGTATGACTAATTAAATGTTTGATAATACCATAGTCTACTTAGCTCTTCCAACGTTATCTGTTACATAGGCTGACCCATACTTGGACACCCGGTGACCTTACTAAGGAAGCTTGACCTCAACCTCCTTTTCCACACTTCTAACAACCACCTCCACTCTCACCTTCCTTGCTATCATAAATATATACGTCTAAGTCCTTTCCTACCTCGTTGTATACCCTTCCATTAGCCATCACTTGAAAAGCAAAACAAAAGCATACCACAAATCATGACTAAGGCTTCGTAAGACGACTGATTACCTTACCTAGAGTCCAACAACCAGTCCAGCATCCACATCAACGTCAGTGTATCACTATGACTAAAAATGTGTAAAAATGGTTATAACTGGCCATAATTTTTTAAAGGGGTGGACCGGTAAGCCAGCGGAAGGCCTCGGTCATATTACCCAAAGCTCTAAAGGCGGGTCATCATCTGACAAAGACCCGAGTCAGGAAACACTTGGCCTGTTTCCTGACGAACCTTACCTAACCTAACCTAACTAAAAACGTCAAATGTGTGACTAACCCAAGAATGAAAACATAATGGTGGTCTATTATGACTGTTATATTTTACTTATAGATGGCGACAACATCTAGCCTAAAATATGTGTCTAGAAATTTGCTTCGAACCATATGTAATAGATCGAGGTTTGCTTCTGAGTAGGTTTTGGTAATGGTGATGACAGTGACCTACCTGGGTTCCCAGGGTCCTGGTGAAGCCGTCCCAGCTGGAGTTGAGTGGAGCTGTCACATTGGGATCTGTCAGACACACTGGGGAGGAAAGAGATCTTTCAGACACACTGGGGAGGAAAGAGATCTTTCAGACACACTGGGGAGGAAAGAGATCTGTCAGACACACTGGGGAGGAAAGAGATCTTTCAGACACACTGGGGAGGAAAGAGATCTTTCAGACACACTGGGGAGGAAAGAGATCTTTCAGACACACTGGGGAGGAAAGAGATCTTTCAGACACACTGGGGAGGAAAGAGATCTTTCAGACACACTGGGGAGGAAAGAGATCTTTCAGACACACTGGGGAGGAAAGAGATCTTTCAGACACAATGGGGAGGAAAGAGATCTTTCAGACACACTGGGGAGGAAAGAGATCTTTCAGACACACTGGGGAGGAAAGAGTTCTTTCAAACACACTGGGGAGGAAAGAGATCTTTCAGACACACTGGGGAGGAAAGAGTTCTTTCAGACACACTGGGGAGGAAAGAGATCTTTCAGACACACTGGGGAGGAAAGAGATCTTTCAGACACACTGGGGAGGAAAGAGATCTTTCAGACACACTGAGGAGCAAGTGAAACATTCTTCCCTCTACTCATCAGCTTCTAATACTGATTACTAGTTTTTATTTTCTCTACACTGCAACACAGTGCCGAGTGTTACTGACCGGACTGTCATGTAAATCTTCTACAAGATTATAACTAGAAGCGAGAGTATTATAAAGAATGTTATAATCACTGCCACAAGAATGAGACACGAAGAAAGATGATCAATTACGTTGAAATTTTCTTCCAAGCATGTGCCTTGATGTTGACAAATGGCTCTTCATCCAAGGAATTGGAACTGCCTTCCCATTCTTTGAATCCAGTGTGATTAATTCCCACTGTCCAGGCGTTGTTTAACCATTAACTCTAGACCTGCCTGTGTATATGAGGATAATAGTAATAGTAAGAGTGGCGAGAGAGTGAAGAATGAGAGCAACTGGAAGGATGGGTGAGTATTTGTTAGCAAATATTGCTAAGAATAAGAATCAGATTTGAAGAGAAATTAATTAGTTGAGTAAGCCTGGAGAGCACATGGACTTGGTAGGTGGAAGTATGTAGGAGAGAAGGGAATTATTTGCTGGCTAAAGAGGCCTTAAACAGGGATATGTGCAGAGGTCTGACGGAAGTCAAAAGTGTCCTGATGGAGCCACTATGCTACCCTGGAAGGACGGAAAGCAGATTTCCTGGGACTACACCTGTGCCACCGCATTGGCAGACACCTACTTCCTATTTTCTGTAGCTGAAGGGGGTGGAGCTGCCAAGTCACCGGGAGACCCAGAAGACCCGCAAATATGATGACCTTCCCCCTTGCTATAACGTCATCCCAATAGGGTCGGAGACCCTTGGAGCATGGGGCAGGTATGCTCTAAAATTCCTCAAAGAGCTGGGTGAAAAACACATCATAGAAACCAAGGACCATAGGGCGGCCAGCTTCCTTTTTCAAAGACTCAGTGTTGCGATCCAGAGGGGAAATGCCTGCAGCACTCTGGGCACACGGCCCACCGCCGGGGAGCTTGATGAAGTATTCGAGATGTAGCTCTGAGTTGTGTATGTTGTTTTGCCCCCTATTGTATTTTTGTCGATGTATATATATATATATATATATATATATATATATATATATATATATATGTTACAAAATGGGAATTGTCACATTTACTCTTTGTCAGTGACACTGCAAAGAAGTTTTTGAGGAAGTATAAAAGAAGGAAATTAAAATTGAATATAGAACAAAGTTAATGAGATTAAGAACAAACTTTGTTAACAAAATACTGATTATCAGACTGGGAGGGAGAATGGAGGAAATGAAGTTGTTTCCATATTTATGAGTGAGGTTGTCGGAGGAGGAGTTTATTACGGGTGAGATGAGTCACAAAATAGACAAAAAGGAAAAGGTAGGTGACGTGTCTTTGATAAAAAAGGAAGAAGTTTATGTATGGAAGCAAAAAGTTGTACCAACTTTTTTACATAGATATAAGGGCAGAGGAGGAGGCGGGAGGCGGTAATGTTGTATTTAAGAGCAATATGAAGAGTGAATGTTGTGTAGAGAATTAGGAATACAGAAATTAGGCGACAGTGTGGGGGAGGGTACAAAATGTTTAATACAAAAGGCAGAAGATGGGCTGTTCAGGTGATTTGGACATAGGAAAAATGTAGCAGAATAGGATGGCAAAGAGAATATATTAACCCACGGTGAAGGGAAGGAAGACTAGGGGTCATCCAGGAAGGGTTGAAGGAAGGGGCTGGAAGAGTTGCTGAGTGTTAGAAGCTTAAGATCAAAGTGGGAACAAGTGAATATTAGGGTTTGACGTGCTCTTGAAATGTGACAAGGGAATAGTTATCAGGGATTCAGGAAACCAGTTACCGGATTGCTACTGGAGTTGGGAAATACATGTCGTTTTAAAGGTGGGGGGGGGGTTTTGCGTGATGCTGCCACTTCTGGCACACAAATATTAATAAAATGAGGGTAATTTTTATTTCCTTTTTTGTGCCACATTACTTTGACAGAAAGAGGCCTATTTTGTAAAATAAAAATAATAATAAAAAATAAAAATAATAATAAAATAATAATAATATAAAAAAAATGTGAATAAGAATCATAATTAAAGTGACGCAGCTGTGATTATAAAGAGTTTTTCTTTATGCACCTGTTTTTCGAAAAACATTCATGACACTGGTAATGGCTGCCAAATTCATCTTACCTTACTTCGTTTTTATCAAAAAAAAAACCTTGTCAAGTGTTTTAAACCGCATCCCACTTCTGCCACCAACGTTTTTGTCCTGTATACATTCGTAATTAACAGCGATGAAAAAAAACCCCAAATGTCACGTATGAGATTTGTTAAAGAAATGTAGTAAATATGACTGGCACCAGGACCTGACATGTACTTGCTCGCAATGCTTAACCTTTTTTAGGAAAGCAATCAGAAACAATCCTAATCTGGGGGGGAGTTATTTATGTGCCGTCGACTGCATTTTCAAATTTGGCTACTGCATGAGGTATACGATTTTTGTATTTGACAAATAAAATATAAATATTTCAGCTTTTTGCCAAAATGCTCTGATCAACATAGCCGCACACTTTTGGGTTTTAATTTGCAGGATGGTTAATCAAAAAAAGGATCTGAATGTAATATTTGAAGTATTTAGCCGTAATCAGTGGATTAAACAATGGTAGCAATGTAGTGCAGTAAATTAGGGCAGAATTTTAGTGGCAGAAATCTGTGTTATAAAGGGAGACTTACACTTGGCACATAAGAGGGGGGTTGTAGGCCCCCAGCTGGAGTTGGCGCTGCACACAACCCCGTTCCCGACCCCCGGTTTCGAAATTGGGCTTTAGTGGAGTAATTGTACATAAGCAATGACAGGTAATTCATGTAGCACAGATGTTTATTACAATATCACTGCATGCACCAATCTTTCTTGTGATGTTAAAGTGATAACTGACTTACCACATACGAGAAAAGAAAATGTCTTAAAGACGGGTAAAAAAACAAAACACATCCAGACACAAACACAACACACACACACACACACACACACACCCAACACAAAAACACACAAAACACACACACACACCACCAAACACACACACACACACAACACATACACTGGATTTCCAGGAGGGGACACACAACAGGGGGCACAGTTGGAAGTTGAAGACTCAGAGAACCCCAGGATGTTAGGGTATTTCTTCAGTCACAGAGTTGTCGGGAAGTGGAATAGTCTGGGAAGTGATGTAGGGAGGCAGGATCCACATAGCTTTAAGAAATAATGTAAATTTTATGGGGGCAGGAATAACCTAGTAGGGGGACCAGTAAGAGGAGGGGGGCCCCTGTGACTCGACCCCTGCAACCACAACTACGTGATACAACACCCCACACACCACACACACACCACACACACACACCACACACCACACCACACACACACACACAAACATATACCTCATAAGGAATCGTTCCAGACTCTTTACACTGTGTACGCAGGCCCCTACTGGAGTATGCGCACCCTTTTTTGAACCCACACCTGGTCCAAAACACGGAAAAAAAAAAAAAAATTTTAAAAACTGCAAAGGTTTTTCAACAAGGGGGGTTCCATAGGCAAGGGGAATTCCACAATAAAGGGTTTGGGAAATCGGTCTGACGACCTGGAGGACAGGAGGGCAGGAGAGACATGAAAACGCAACAAAATACTGCGGAAATAGATAAGGTGGACAGGACAGGGGTGTTCCAGGATGGGACACGAAAAAGGGGGCAATTGAAGTTGAAAACTCAGATGAATCAAAGGGGTGTTTTGGGGCATTTCTTCAGCCAGAGGTTAGGAATGGAATAGTCCCGGCAAATGACAAAGGAGGGAGGAAAACCCTTATAGTTTTAAGACAGGTAGATAAAGCTCCGGGGCAGGGGGAGGGAGGACCCAATAGGGTCAGTGAAAGAGGGGGGAGCCCGGACGATCTCGACCCCTACAGCCCCAATTAGGTGAGTAATAATTTGGTTTAGCACACCCACACACACACCACATACACACACACAGTGCACACAACCCAGGAAAAAAGTGAAGAGGCTTTTGGGAGCTAGATTCCCAAAGGCAATGGGGGCCAGAAAAACATCTCCCCCTGGGGAAGAGAGGGGCGAGGCGATGGACCCTAAACAACAATATTCAATTCAAATCACGAAACAGGGAGATTGCCCGAGGGATGGAAGACAGCAAATGTTTCCCAGTCTTTAAAAAAGGGAAAAAGCAGCGCATTAAACCAACCATTTCACTGCTGTACAGAACAAAAAATGGAGAAGATTATCAGGAGAAGAGGGGGAACACCAGAAAGGAACGACTCATCAAACACCAACATGGTTTCAGGGGGGGAAACCTGTGTCACAAACCCTGGGAAATTCTATGACATGGGACAGATTAAAACAAGAGAAGAGAGGGGTGGTGGATTGCATTCTTGGACTGCAAGAAGGCGTTTGAACAGTTCCACACAAAGTTGGGGGCAAAAATGGAGGCCAAACGGGAAACAGGGGAAGGGAAACAAGGATCGGGAATACTTTCAGGAAGACAGCAGCGAGTCATGGGACGTGGGGGAGGTGCAGAATGGGTACCT